ATTCCGGCTTTTCACGGCATCATTTCCTTGGCAAAAACCCCACCACCGTCAACACCACCACTGGACTGGACAGACTCATCCCCAGAGCACACCAGTACTGTTTGCCATTGGTCTGCCAGTGGGAAGGGGACAGAGGTGTGCGGGAAAAGCAGGTGCCAGTGACTCTGTGGGCACAGGTGGTACCAGGCTGGTGCTGCAGTGGTTACACCCGAGCTGGGGAAGAGGTACGGAGACACTGAAATGGCTGGAAGTCTTCTCGTGTCTCGAGGAGCCTGTCAGTTTGTGTGTAACTCGGGTCTCGGGGGATGGCCGAAGACTAACTGCAAAGGGAAGGACCGTGTGCCTGACCACTGGGACTTGGTCACTGGAATCAAGTGATTTCTGCGGGAGCGACTTCACCTAAGCACAAAATGAAACTGCTCCTGGGATCAAGGCGCGCAGTACTGGTGAGAGCTGCCAACAGGGAAACAACGTGGAAAGGCTCCCACAGTTCCCTAAGCCGTGCAACTGTCTGGGGCGCGCGGGGGAAAGAAAATTCGGGAAAGCAGCTGAGAGCCGTGAATAGTCTCAGAATGACAGAGCGGTTTGGGTTGGAAGGGACCTCAAAGCTCACCTAGTTCCAACCCCCTGCCGTGGGCAGGGACACCTCGCACTGGGCCAGGCTGCTCAGAGCCCTGGCCGGCCAGCCGGCCTGGGCTTCAACATTGCCCGAGAGGGGCCATCCACAGCTTCTCTGGGCAACCTGTGCCAGTGCCTCACCCCCCTCGTAGCAAAGAATGTCTTCCTTAGATCTCGTCTAAATCCACCCTCTCTCAGTTTACAGCCATCGCCCCTTGCCCTGTGACTACAGGCCCTTGCAACACGCCCCTCTCCAGCTCTCCTGTAGGCCCCTTCAGGTACTGGTAGGCTGCTGGAAGGTCTCCCCGCAGCCTCCTCTTCCCCAGGCTGAACAGCCCCCAGTCTCTCAGCCTTCCCTCACAGCAGAGGTGCTCCAGCCCTCGGACCCGCCCCAACAGCTCCATGTCCTGCCCGGGCCGAGGGCCCCAGAGCTGGTCGCGGGACCCCAGGCGGGCTCTCAGCAGAGCGGAGCGGAGCGGAGCGGAGC